GCAGGTGGATCACCTGATGTCAGGAGTTCGAGGCTAGCCTGACCAACATGGAGAAACCCCATCTCTATTAAAAATACAAAATTAGCCGGGTGTGGTGGCCCATGCCTGTAATACCAGCTACTTGGGAGGCTGAGGTAGGAGAATCACTTCAATCCGGGAGGCAGAGGTTGCAGTGAGCTGAGATCACACCACTGCACTCCAGCCTGGGTGACAAGAGTGAAATTCTATCTCAAAAAATAATAATAATAAAAACAAAAATTAGACTTAGAGCATGGTGGCACATGCCTGTAATCCCAGCTACTTGGGAGGCTGAGGCAGGAGAATTGCTTGAACCCAGGAGACAGAGGTTGCAGTGAGCCGAGATCATGCCATTGCACTCTGGCTCTAGGCAACGGAGCAAGACTCTGTCTTTGGGGGGGAAAAATGATACGAATATTAGATCATTCATCTGAGAGAACTAACATATATGTAACAGGAGTTCTAGAAGGGGCAACATAAAAAACAGAGGGCAAGAAATGAAATGAGTAGAAGGTAAGTTTTCAGAATTGATGGCCAGTGAGTTTCTAGACAAAAAGCCACAATGGGAAAAAGAGACCCATACCAAGGCACATTGCTGAAATTTTAAAACACTGAGGACAAGACAAAAAAAAAAAAGCCTAAAAACTTCCAGAGGGGAAAAAATAGGTTACAGGAAACAGAGAATCCTACTGGCCACAAACTTTAACAGCAATACCGGCAGCTAGAAGAAAACAGAATAAATGCCTTTAAAATTCTGAAATAAATTATTTCCAATGTGATCCAAACTACCTATTAAAGACGTGAGGCAAAGGAAAATGAATAAAGATATTTTCAGACATGCAAGGTCTCAAAAATATAGTTATCTCCCAAATGATCTTTCTCAAAGAGTTATGAAGTTATACTTTCACAAATGAGGAGACCAAGAAAGAGAAAGAAATGGGATTCTGGAAGCAGGATAAAAAATCAGCTAGATATAAGAAGAATCTCAAAAATGAGAATGAAGGAAGATCCCCGACCTGATCATCAACCTAGAATGCAACCAGTACAAATTGGTGAAGTTTAGAAGTTTGAGAGAGGTTATCTCCAAAAAAGAAGAACATCTGAAAGTTTTAATGTAGTGACAGGAGATGTACACAACTAGGAGCAAAGACTTCAGGAAAATAGTAATAAATATCTTGACTGTGGTAATGGTTTCATGGGTGGGTGTGGGTGTGTGTCAAAACTTATTAAATTTGTACTTTTACAATATGGGCATTTTTATGTCAATTATACCTAAATGCTATTTTTAAAAATAAAAACAAGAAATGCCAACAAAAGTATTCATATTAAATGCTAACATACATTATAAGACACAATCACATGAAAGGTAAAAATTTAAAAACTGTAAGAAAAATCTAGGCAGACAATAAACCAGGTGAAAATTCACTAAAATGTTGCCAGTACTGTTTTTAGATGGTGGAAACATAGGTAATTTTTCTATTTCTGGATTTTTCAAACTCTGTATAATGAGTAACTATTAATACTTTTATAATAAAAACTTTTACAATGAATACATTTTCTGCAACTTGTAACTGGGGAAGAGAACTCAGAAACAGATCATCTATGCCAGCAACTACTGATAATTCACTATTGATAATTTTTATCACCAACTTCTTGAGATGGTAGGGAAAGGTTGCTGAAGAACAGTTTACCAAAAGGTACTTGGCATTCAGAAATTGAGCTGTCCAGTAATAGTAGCCAATTAAAAAAAAAAAAATCCTATTGCTTCTCAGCCTTTTGGCTATGATTAAATGTAAAAAAATTCCTTGGGCCAGGCGTGGTGGCTTATGCCTATAATCCCAGATTTTGGGAGGCCAAGGCAGGCAGATCACCTGAGGTCAGGAGTTCAGGTCCAGCCTGGCCAACACGGCGAAACCCTGTCTCTAATAAAAATGCAAAAATTAACTGGTAGTAGTGGCAAGTGCCTGTAATCCCAGTAACCTAGGAGGCTGAAGCAGGAGAGTCACTGGAACCCAGCGGGGCAGAGGCTGCAGTGAGCTGAGACTGCACCACTGTACTCCAGCCCGGGCGACACAGCAAGACTCCATCTCAAAACAAAACAAAACAAAACAAAAACTTAAAAAAAAAATTCCTTCAAGATTCACACATCTGGGCTTTAAATAAATAAATAAATACAATTTCTTTAGAGATGAGAATCTCTGATGCCCAGTGTGGAGTACAGTGGCACAATCATAGCTCACTGTGGTCTCAGCAGCTCAACTAGCTGAGACTATAGGCACATGCCACTGTGCCTGGATAATTTTGTATGTGTTTTTGGTGGAGACGGCATCTCGGTTTGTTGCCTAGCCCGGTCTCAAACTCCTGGGCTCAAGCAATCCTCCCACCTTGGCCTCCCAAAGTGCTGGGATTATAGGAATTTATGTGTCACCATGCCCGGCCCCAAGTATGGTTACTGACTACTTCACTGAAATGTTGCTGGTGTGAACTGAGATACGTTAAGCATAAAACACACAACAGATTTTTAAGATGTAATAGAAAATATATAATATTTTTATAATTTTTACACTGATTATACGCTGAAATGATGTTTAGGTCAGGCACAGTGGCTCACGTTAATAATCCTAGCACTTTGGCAGGCCGAGGCAGGAGGATCACTTGAGGCCAGGAGTTCAAGACGAGCATGGGTAACATAGTGAGACCCCCATCTCTACAAAAACATTTAAATATTAGCAGGGTGTGGTGGCACATGCTTGTAGTCCCAGCTACTTGGAAGGCTGAGGCCAGAGGATTGCTTAAGCCCAGCAGTTAAAAGCTGCAGTGAGTCATGCAGTACCACTTACTGCACTCCAGTCTGGGTGACAGAGCAAGACCCTGCCTCAGAAAAAAAAAGAAACAATGTTTAGATATAGCGGATTATATGAAATATATTATCAAATTAATTCCACCTGTTTTTTTAAATGTGGCTACTAGAAAATTTAAGCTAGGTTGGGCACAGTGGCTCACGTCTGTAATCCCAGCACTTTGGGAGGCCAAGGCAGGCAGATCACTTGAGGTCAGGGGTTTGAGACCAACTCGGCCAACATGGTAAAACCCTGTCTCTATAAAAATACAAAAATCAGCCAGGCATGGTGGTGCATGCCTGTACCCCTAGCTGCTTGGGAGGCTAAGGCAGAAGAATCGCTTAAACCTGGGAGGTGGAGGTTGCAGTGAGCAGAGATTGTGCCAGTGCACTTCAGCCTGGGTGACAGAGCAAGACTCTGTCTCAAAAAAAAAAGAAAAGAAAAGAAAAGAAAATTTAAACTACATATGAGATACCCATTATGTTTCTATTGAATAGTGCTGAAATAGGACTTTTTATAGAAATCTACTTAACCTATCAGAGATACACTTAAGATGGAGTCTCTTACAACAACTTTATCCTTGGATTTCAATTACATTTCAAATTTCTCATTAATTTCACAGACTTAGGAACACCAGATATATCCAGTGTTATTCAACTAAGCCTTCTAAGACTGGATCTCTGATTTCAGAAACATTATTCTATCAAATAGTTCCCTCGGTTTTCTCAACTATAAAATAGGAATAACAACATACTATGTAGTTACTGAGAGAACTAAATAAGATGTACTACAGAACAACTAAGTGGCATGTTATGGACTTGCTATATCGGTCAGCCAGCAATGTAACTACTTCTACACTATTTTCTCTCAAAATGCAACATTCACATTCAGGCCTACTGAAATTATAATTAGGTCATGAACTTTCAGGGTCGCTTTAGACCAAAAATCTCAGTAGTTACTTTCCAAAGTCAGTCTATGACAGTGATTTAAATTATACAAAACTTCAGGCCAGGCACAATAGCTTACACCTATAATCCCAGCACTTTGGGAAGCTGAGGCCAGTGGATCACATGAGGCTGGGAATTAGAGACCAGCCTGACCAACATGGAGAAACCCGTCTCTACTAAAAATACAAAATTAGCCGGGCATGGTGGCACATGCCTATAAGCCCAACTACTAAGGAGGCTGAGGCAGAATTGCTTGAACCCAGGAGGTAGAGGTTGCAGTGAGCTGAAACACCACCACTGGACTCCAGCCTGGGCAGCAAAACTCCATCTCAAAAAAATAAATAAATAAAAATTTAAAAAATAAAATATATAAAACTTCAAACTGTACTGTCTTCCACATTTTTTGTTGTTATTTAAAATAATCCAGCCAAGTACACAAAACTGTCATTTTCAGATGTAGAAAAAGGCTTAGAAGTTAAGTGAGTAGGATATCCAGATTTACAAAAATATTAATATTGCCAGAAAACTTCATTTTAATCATTAGATTTTAAAAATAAGACACAAATCCTATGAGAACTCAACTACTAGGGAGGGGGAACAAAGAAATATGACAGAACTAGAGAAGACTGGGAATTTTAAGTTCTCAAAAAAACAAGAGTTATCTCGATTATTAGAACACAAAGCATAAAGCCCATTTATTTAAAATAAGAGCACATTTATACTTTAAAATTAAATCTGTAGTCTCCACAAAATATCTTTCAAAAACTCAAATCCAAAAAGGTTCTGAAGATTTTTAGTGCCATTGGTTTGTGTTATAGCTACAATATTGTGCCTATCAATAAGAGACTAAATAAAAAGCAAAAATAAAACATCATTTAATTATCTACATTGAAGATCAGCAATTATAAAACTTTACATGCACCTAACTTCAGCTGTTATACAAAATCATAATCATTTGTTCCTTTCTAAGAAGGAATACAGCATTCAGAGCTTATTATTAATGAACAATGACAAGAGCTAAAATTAATATAGCCACTGTCTTTTCATTTTGTGGCAAATAGCTCTCAATAACTTACCGTCTGATTTAATTAAGTGGTTAAAAGGATCTAACTTCAAGTTTATACTCTAAATACAATGTTTTTCAAAGAGTGGACAATAAACAGTTTTTCCCCCCTGTGGAAAAGCAGTTTTTCATTTTTCCAAAAATTGTACCAAAGTAAAGCAAAGTTCTAGATGATGGAGGCATATTGTGTAGGAGTTAGCAGTACTGCCCTCACTATGTACTCACTGGACAGTAGTACAACCCCAAGAAAAGGATGGTTAACAGTTTTTGTTGTTGCTGTTAAGGAAATAAAAAACAGCTCATTGATAGTAAGGAAGCTATTCTGTGAAACTTTCATTTTTTTGTGTGCACATATACTGGGTCACAATGTAAATGTTCCTAGAATGGGTCTCAAAAAGGTTTGAAAGCCACTGCAAAGTAGTCTATCTATAGCAAACTATTACATATTCAGTAATTGGAGGAGTGTTGCAGGAATCAGACTGTACCAAGGTAAAAATCCTTTTTGACTGTCAGAGCATAAGAAGCATATTTAAGGCATGGGCCTAAAGCTGACTGGATTATCCAACTCTACCACTCACTTTACTAATCAGACAACAAACTTACCCAAGGTCATTCTTCTATAGTTTGCATTAGAACTAAGTCTCCCACTCTAATTCTCAAATTAAGCTGCAGAAAGCATGTAAGTATTAATTAAGAATTTCCTATTTGGTTTTCAATAACCAAAAGAAACTGCAGCTTAACACATGCAACTATTTCCTCAAATACTATTCTACCAGATTAATGACCATGCCAGCTCTCCCATTAAAACCTTTTTCTAGCTAGTGACTTGGTACTTAGCTTTTTATAGCACTTTTCTTTTCCCATTATGCTCAGTAGTGCATGCAACACACTACATTTAGGAATGCAACTGACTTCCTTTGGGAATGCATAACCGAGGCCATAAATATGACTGAAATTTTCGTGAATTTCTATAATGTGTCTAAACTTAGAAGCAAAGTACTACAAAATCAAGTTAAATCAGAGCACATTTTGTGATTAGCATACCTCACTATTAAAACATCATATGTATTCTAAGAGGTATCATTCAAAACTTGAAGTATATCCAAAATACTCCATTCCCATCTCCTGATAAATAAATCTTTACTGACAACTGAGTCGGTAAGGGGAGAAACAAGTTAAGGACAGAAGTTAAAACTGAATTTGACAAAGATGGGGCAGGTTATCACAGCTTCATACTGTAAGCAAAGGTTTATTTCTACATCCTCTTTCCTAATATCCATAATAAACTCATAATATTACTTTCAAAGAACCCAAAAAAAGGTGCCTCAAATTATTTCCATAAAGAAAACAACATGATTCCCTATTAAGCAATTCTGTTAATGACTATCCACAAAATTCCAAATTTAAAAAAATTGCAAAACACTAGGAATGGCAGAGATACTGAGCCTTATTATGATTAGCCAAGCTGGTGAAGCACATAAAAGATGCAGGCAAGAGAAAAAGGAAGCTGAGTCAAGTACAGGGTCCTTTGCATCCACAGAGAAAATGCCTTATTTTTATTTCTCAAACTTGCAGTATAAAGACCAAAAAAATCCACTATTTTAATTCGACAGTCCAGTCAATTCACATGGCTGTATGTGAATTTTTATTTCAGAAAATTAAGGGAAAGGAGCCAGGCACAGTGGTTCACACCTGTAATCTCAGCACTTTGGGAGGCTAAGGCGGGTGGATCACTTGAAGTCAGGAGTTCAAGACCAGCCTGGCCAACATGGCAAAACCCCGTCTCTACTAAAAATACAAAGATGATCCAGGTGGAGTGGTGCACACCTGTAATCCCAGCTACTCAGGAGACTGAGGCAGAAGAATTGCTTGAACCTGGGAGGTGGAGGTTTGCAGTGAGCCTAGATAGTGCCACTGCACTCTAGCCTGGGTGACAACAAAGCAAGACTATGTCTCAAAAAAAAAAAAAAAAAAAAAAAGAAAGAGAATCTATAGTGTGTCGATGCATTTTAATATTATATTCACAGCAAGATAACCTAAATTACTTTTCCAACAGAGAATTCTAAATCTAAAAGCAAATACCATTCACATGTCAAATAAAATAATTGCCAAAAATTTACTCACTCATTTTTATAAAATGTTATGAAAATGAGTACATTCTTCAACTCTTTTGGAGAAGAGTAGACAATATGATTTAGAAAAAAAACATATAATTAGTGGCAATTTTAACAGAAGAGAATGCTTTCCCACTGAACTTCATAAAAACAAAACAAAATCCAGACTTCATCCGTTTTACATTTTAGAACAGTAAAATTCCTAATTTCTCATTTCCCAAATAATATTCCCCATTATTGTTTACTCCCCTTGAAATGTTTATTCCTCCGAGTTCCAAGATTCCCAGGTATGGATTTTGAATTTCCTGAAGCTTCCTGTGACTCCGTGGAGTTCACCAGAAAGAACATCAGAGAGAGGTCATACCTGTGTTAATAACTATTATTATCAGTATTACTAAGAATTTAAAATTTTTGCTCTAGAGTTTTTATATTTTAATAAGTCATTCACAATCTCAAGCTGTAATCACAATGAGGGTTAGCATGAGAGATATCGTCTTCCAATTTCTACAAACTTTTCTTTAAAAAGAAAAAAAAAGACTATTGGCCGGGTATGGTGGCTCACGCATATAATCCCAGCACTTTGGGAGGCAGAAGCAGGTGGATCACTTGAGGTCAGGAGTTCAATATCAGCCTGGCCAACAAGGTGAAACCCCATCTCTCCTAAAAATACAAAAATTAGCCAAGTGTGGTGGCCTGTGCCTATAATCCCAGATACTTGGGAGCCTGAGGCAGGAAAATCGCTTGACCCCAGAAGGCAGAGGTTGCAGTGAGCTGAGACTGCACCACTGCACTCCAGCCTGGGTGACAGAGCAAGACTCCATCTCAAAGAGAAACAAACAAAGAAAGACTATTTTACATATATTTCGAGGTTTTCAATGCCTTTGAAACTAAAACATCAAACAACAATCACGGGCATGAAAATTTTAAATATTTGCTGGGTGCAGTGGCTCATACCTATAATCCCAGTGCTTTGGGAGGCCGAGGCGGGCAGATCACCTGAGGTCGGGAGTTTGAGACCAACCTGAACAACATAGAGAAACCCCATCTCTACTAAAAATCAAAAATTAGCTGGGTATGGTGGCACGCGCCTGTAGTCCCAGCTACTCAGGAAGCTGAGGCAGGAGAATAGCTTGAACCTGGGAGGCGGAGGCTGCAATGGGCCAAGATGGCACCACTGCACTCCAGCTTGGTGACAGAGCGAGACTCCATCTCAAAAAGCAAACAAACAAAAAAAACCCACCACATTGAGCTCTAACTTTAACTTCACATTTTTAAAATGTAATAGCAAACAGCAGCTTGAAAACTGAAAAAGGCCAGGCATAGTGGCTCACACCTGTAATCCTAGCACTTTGGGAGGTTGAGGCAGAAGGGTCACTTGTGGCCAAGAGTTTGAGACCGGCTCAGGGAACACAGACCCTGTCACTACAAAAAAAAAATTTTTTTTTTGAGATGGAGTTTCACTCATGTTACCCAGGCTGGAGTGCAATGACGCAATCTCGGCTCACTGCAACCTCCGCCTCCTGGGTTCAGGCAATTCTCCTGCCTCAGCCTCCTGAGTAGCCAGGCATGGTGGTACATGTCTGTAGCCCTAGCTGCTCAGGAGGCGAAAAGAGAAAGATTGCTTGAACCCAGGAGTTCAAAGCTGCAGTAAGCCATGATCCTACCACTGCACTCCAGTTTGGGCCATAGAATGAGATCCTCTCTATTGTCTTCGGGGTCACAGACAACCTGAACTATTAGTTTTAATGTACATTACAAGGTAATTATAAAGTTCAAAGAGAAGCATGTTCAGCTTTTAAAACAAGAATTAACAAAAAACAAAAAAAAAAGAAAGAAACATGAATGATCTAGGCTCCACTCGACTTCTATGTGTTTGGATATAAGCTCGGCAAATTATTTCACTTCAGTCTCTTCACCCTGTAAAATGGGACTGATACCTCCCCTTCAGGTGACACAGAATATATGACAAAATAAATAAGAATATATATAAAACACAGTGTCTGGTTCATAAATAGTATCAAATTGCCAACCTTTTCTCACCGTTTTGAGAAAACCAGTCCTTCAAATACACATAGTTCAAACTATTTTTTTTCGAGACAGGGTATTGCTCTACTGCTCAGGCTAGCGTACAGTGGCACGATCATAGCTCACTGCAGCCTTGAACCACAGCTAGGACTCCAGGCATGTACCACCTTACCCAGCTAATATGTTAATTTTTTTTTTTTTTTTTTTTTTTTTTTTGTAGAGATGGGGTCTTGCTATGTTCCTTAGGCTGGTCTCAAATTCTTGACCTCAAGTGATCCTCTGCCCTTGGCCTCCCAAAGTGCTGGTATTACAGGCCAAATTTGATTAAACTTTACATCAGGCCCTAAAATAAGTTGCCATTGAAAACACAACTTGCCATAACAAGACAAATTTAAAGACAACTGATTTAAGAACTCTTTTGTGTTACAAGAAAGAGGATTACTTGGTATGCCACTTATTATATATAGTAATGTCTTACTCTCTACTAGTAAATACAAAATAAGGGAATAGCCATTATTGTAACTGCAAAAGTAAAATTTTAAACATTGATAAGTAGCTAGTATAAACATTTTTAAAATCTATTTTTTGTATATTAAATTTTGGATTTTAACACTATAACATAAATATATCCATGAAGATAAATCAATTTTAAACACCAATATCAAGAAGATAAAAAATCAGAAATTCACCTAGCAAGTTCAGAGACGAGATTCACTGTACTCAAATGAAAAAAAGAAAAACAGAATTAAGGTGACTAACCAATTTGATGTTATAAACAGTGTTATACTACTGACATTAAATTCTTGGCATTGAAAAATATTTGCAGAAAATATGAAAGAATTCATTTTGATATAAGGACCTTATGAAAACTAGTTAGGGGAGAAAAGCACCTGAAAGCAAATATATACCAAAGGACAAAAGAAGAAATACAATTAGTTATTATTATCAAAGCAAATGGGGGAAAGTCCTACAGACATAAACTATAGTTTATGAAATATGTAATATAATAGGATTGATAAGTGGGGAGTAAAATAAGAACTCTCGCTTGGGTCACTGAAAATACATATGTCTTTGGAAAACAATCTTAAAATGAATAGAAAATACTTAAATGCTCATGCT